TGTCCAGTTTCTGTCTGGAAGGGTTCCTCCACTTTGAGTAGCCGTGGATGTTCGTGCCCTCCCTGTACTTGATTTCCATTCCCAGCAGAATTTTTGCATCTCCTAATCCTTTCTATGTCCCCAGGCTTCCAGGGGGGAAAGTGAATGTCCCCAGCAACAGCAGGAGACTGTTGGTCAGTCTGGTTGGGAACAAAGAAGGAAATGTTCTCTGCAAGTTTGAGGTGACCGAAGCATTACCAGGTAGCACATTGTCCCTCTTGGACCATCCCTTTTTTGCTCTGGATAAAACAGTATAAGGATGAGTTACATCTTAGAGATATTGGCTGATGAGGTAACTGGAGCGAACATACCATAGATATTCCTTCACATACAAACTTTGACCTGCTTTAGGGCATGTGGTTGCAACTACAGCCTCCCATTCCAGGATGAGCTTCAGAGAGGAGGGGAAAAAAGGAGACAGAATAATGGAAGATCTGATGACCTTGAAGGAATACTTTCTATATATATAATTGCCATCTACCCCTCAACTGAATCTAGAGGTGCCTGTGAGGAGCAGGGCCTTCTCTATTGTAGCACTCTCCTTGTAAAGCCTTTTGTCTAAAAAAACCTCAGCAACGCACCTTGCTTGTGATTTTTCCAGAGATTCTCAGTACATTTTTCTTTATTTTTGTCTAGAGAAGTGTTTGAGAGCTGCAGTGGTGCTGGACTGGTTTGCTACTTGTTTTCCTTAATGCTTTGTTAATCAGAAAGTGCATTATCTTGGTACTACATTAAGTGCTTGGACAACCCCCTTTTAAGGGTGAGAAGTGGCCTGATATTTAACAATAGCAATTAACTAGGTCTGGAGCCACACTCATGGGATTTACTGACATAATAGAAACTTGGTGACAGACTTCTTCTCACTTTATTTTACGCAGAAAGGCAACAGGAAATGAAACAAATAGCTTGCACTTCAAAACCCATTTTTAGGCAACTGCTGTCCATTTCTCAAGGCTAAGGAGACCACAGATATGTAACAAGACCCATGGCAGAAACCACAACTAGAAGCAAACAACGTGAGCAAAATACTAATGACAAAAGACACTATCACTCTTCTTTGGGTTCTGGATGGTATTTATTTATTTATTTGGCTTGATCTCCAAGTCCATTTTCTTAATTTTCCTCAACCGAAATTGTTCTTAGGAAACTGCTTTCTGCATCTGCCTAAGCTCCACATCAGCTGTGTAACATTCGCTGGTCTTTAGGTCTAGAATTCAAAACTCTTATACAATGTCTTTCCTTTCTATTGTTCTCTGTTCCTCTTCATTTGTAAGCTGGAACCGAACAATCGTTGCTTCAATTAAGTGTGATCTTCCTCCTCAGAGTTCTGCTCCATCTTCCACACCCATGACAGGAGTCTGAACCCAAATGTATAAAACAACAGCAATAGCGACTGGGTCATCATTCAAACATCTGCATGAATAGGATCTGATCAGGAAAATCCTTCAATGAGCTGTGGCTTTATTATGTCTTATAACCATGGTTTCAAAATGTATGCATCCCCTTTGATCCAGTGTTTTTTGGTGTAAGGAATGAGGCAGGAACAAGAAGCTCCCATGGTAAAAACAATTATGTCAACGTAGTTCAGGGGCTTTCCAAGGCCACTGAGAGAATGTCCAAGTATCCATTGACTCAGAAAAGCCTAGAATTTAAACCTTGGAGCAGAGACCTAAATAATGGGTTGATTTGTGTGTACCATAGCACACAAATCTTCTCTCTGTGCCTATGCCTTTATTGTATCAGCAGTAAAGACATACTGTATCTTGCCAAGTCATGCCTGAGCATTTTGCTGATTAAGTCAATTCCTGAATAAAGTTTTTTTTTTTGGGGGGGGGGATGCAAATTTTTTGTTATGGGACTATCAGGGAATGGGATAGAAGAGTAACACCACACAGTGATGTTCCGCCAACTAAAGTGAACTTCATGGTTACTCAGAGATGAATGTGACGAATAATTTGTGCTGGTGTTCAATTGCAGTGTCCTTACCTAGTCTCTGTGTGCATGCATATGTGCTTCCTTAATTACAGGCCTAACCAAACGATATCTAAGCTATCTCCAAAGCTTCCTTAAAGTTCTTTAACTGCTTTCATGCATTTCCTTTCCCTTTTTCATCCACACAGTTGCTAAACCTAATCACTGAGCTTTGTTAATTCCCCTCTCTAGGCAGCTTAGCAATAGTTTTGCTTTCCTGCTACTTTAGCCATTTTTATAGAAAAAAGGACAAAGGAGGAAAAAACCCTGTTTCTTGAGCTCTCTTAGAAATCTGGCCCCTGGGCCATACTTCTCCACTCTAGTATGGCTCTCAGGCTATCTTTCCAGCATGGATCCTTCTATGGGTGATGGCAGGATATGGTAAAAAAAAATCCAAGATGACAGCCATGATGATGTGATCCAAACTCTGCCCATTTTTTATGTGCACTGATACTTCTCTCAGCACCATCCCGACTCTTCACCATTAGCTCTCTCACAGATCCTTCCCTCCAAATTCTGTTCATTATTGCTGGAGCTGACCATCAAATATGCTTCCTTCTTCATTGATCCATTGAAGGAGAAGGAGAAGGACAAAGGAGGAGGGGGACAAGGAAGAAGAGGAGGAAGAGAAGGGAGAATGAGGAGGAGGAGGAGAAGGGGGAGATCGAGATGGAGGAAGAGGAGGAGGAGGAGGAGAAGGGAGGAGGAGGAGGAGATGGAGATGGAGAAGGCAAACAGGAAGAGGAGGGGGAGGAAGAAGAAGAGAAAACAATTGATGATGGACAATTGTTAGGCACTAATACAATAGGCTTCCCCATCTGCAGAACTCCCTGCCTCGGGGGTTAAGTCATATTCCTGTATACATCTTTTCTTCCACAGTAGTGAAATATTTCTTTGTATGCCAGAGATTTAAATCATTTGGGGGTTAATGTTATGTAGTGGATCAGTTTTGTGTTATGCTTTGGTTAGCTGCTTTTAGCTTTCTTTCCTGTGTGAAGTTTTTATACTTACAGTATGTAACTCTTGAACATGACTTTGAATCACCCCTTTTAAAAAAAAAAGCAAGTGGGGAAAAATCTGAAATAAATTTTAAAAGTTCTGGGACATCAGTCCAACTCTAACCTCAGTCGGTGGGCTTACAAGTTTGGGAAGAGTTAGGGAGAATTTGAAAGCTTTTCTTCCCTCAATTAGAGGGGTACTAGTGGCCATTTGAGGTTTTGGGGGGGAGTTGATGGAGATATTGCTATTCCCATTCAGCAGCCAGAGAAGCCTCCAGGTGGTCTTTTCTTGTGCAGGGCCACAAAAAAGAGAAGCAGCCGTGCTAGATTACACTTTTCAAAGGGTGGCATCTGAGAACGGCTGAGGTATTTGGGTCCTTATGATGAAGTCCAATCTTTGCTGGGTGCATTTGTGGCCTCACACAGGATGCAGGAAGTGAGGACCCAGTAAGCTGTGTGGTGAGAAAGACCTGCAGTCTTGTGCTTGAATTCACATCTCGTACCCAAAACAGATAGAACTTTCCTACAACATTCACTTCTCTAGAATAATAGCATTTGCAAAGAGTGATTGAGGACAATCAAGAAAACCATTTCAAATTTTAAAAAAAGCAATAGAAGCATGAGTTAAGCAATCATTCTGGTTGTTCACCTAACTATGGTTTAAAAGACAGATGCATTAAAAAAAAAAAATTCTAGCATGACGACATTAGCTTTCTATTGACGGTTCTGGTATTAGTTTGTTTTGCCAGGAAACCCCCTTATTATGTGTTTTCCTTTCTTTAAATGCAAGCAAGATTGGGAGGCCATGTTAAAAGACCCAGGTGGTTAACGATAACAGCCACGATCTCCACTGTTGAAGAGGCTAAGGATGATGGGGCAGATGATCCAATATACCTGCTGGACTGGGGAAGGCTGATCTGGGTCTGGATTTAACCTCAAGTTTAACCATGTCTCATACCAAATTCTTGGACTCAGCTGCCCAAAGAGATGCCAAGGAAGCCAGCAGGAACGTGCACAGGGGATTTTCCTTTGCAAGCTCTAGTGAACACAAGCTGGCCTCTTCTGCAAGCAGCTCAGATCACAGATACGGTTCAAACAACCTCAGTCAGACCGATACTTCTGACTGAGTGAGTTATCTGTCTTTTGAGGTTTGTGGGTTTGTTTGTTTTTTTGCCTTTGTTGTTTTGCCACTGCAAAAGATCTCAAACCAGGAATCTTTACAAAAATTGATGTGGCATTCTAAATTTTGATAAGGGCAAAACCTAAGAATCTTTCTTCCTCTCTTCGCCAATAGCAC